CTCTCCCCGAGTATATTCCAAATTAAAATCGTGCATTAAGAGCTGGGAGCAAACAACATGGTCAGCGTCGTGCGTTGGTTATGCCATTTATTTTATTTAAGCGAGCATTTTTGTTTTTGCTTGTCCAGCTTGCCACCTTGCCACGAATGTGAAAGGGAGCCCCCTTTCAAATTCACATGAATATGGAGCAGGCGAGTGGGGAACTCGCGAATGCGGAATATGTGTGTTTTTCCACGTTGTTTCTCTGATTTACGAGCCATAAAAGTTAACTTAATTAAATGGTTTTTGGCGTTCAGTGAATATTTATGGGTCCAGGATTTCAATGTGTCGGTGAAAGTTATGGGAAACTGTTTGGAAAAAAACGTTTAGACAACTAGAAGCTAGAATGTGTAGCTGAATTAAATATGAAACCAATTAACAATCTGAAGAGTATAATTTCGTCTCTTTAAGTAATACTACGAAAAAATACTTGTACAAAATGCAAACCTTATGAATACCGATCAAGTGAATATTCATTTAATAGTCTCTGCATTAGATCAGATTTTTTTTTTTTAAAGGAACTAGACATGATTTTATTGACACTTTCATCCCTAATTCAAACAAACTATCGAATGCGTGGCAAACTTATTGTGTATTTCCAGTCACTTAAGCTTTGTTGCGTTTCAAGTGATTTTCATGCTTCAGTTAACCAAGAAAAAACCCCCAAAAACGAAGTAGAATGAGGAACAACTAACGAGAGATGAGAAACAACACTTAAAGTCATCTTAAATAACGACCGCAGAAAGATTCCCTCGTAAATCAATTAGCACCCACAACAAGTACCGCGAAGCCCCTGGGTGGATGTCCTGTTGCCTTGCGGCTTTTCGCAAAATTAACTACCTGCTAAGTTAATTGAGCAAACAACGCTGGCAGGATTCGCAGGATCCGCTGCCATAAAAGTTGTGCATCGGTCCAACTAAAAAGTCAGTCGCGCTGCGGCTTACAACTATTAATTATGCGGCCCAAAGTTATGACAGCAGAAAACAGCCGCAGAACTCCGAGCGGCGAAACTAAAAACTGCCAACTGCCAGCGAGCAAAAGGGAAGCGCACATCATAAATTATGGCCAGGACATTGCCATGGAGTGCAAGGATGTTCCTGCTCCAGCTCCTGCTCCTGCTCCTCTTCCTCAGAGGAATACATAAATGTGCTTGTGCGGTAAGCCGCCGCCTGTCTTTTGGCCATGGCAAACAGCTTCCATGCATCCAAAAATATTCGAAAATTTCAATGGAGGTTGCAGCTGGAGCTGGAGCTGGAGCCTCCTCTCCTGGCACAAAGGTATCCTGCCACGGCAAATGGCAAAATGGCCACCGCAGCGAGCGCACAAAAAGTGTCATGGCGCATGAAAAACTTCCTGCACGGCAGTGGCTTGGCCCCAGGACCTCAGCTTTCAGCTTTCGGCCTTCAGGCTTCAGCCTGTTCGGTTCGGTTCTGTTATGTCCTGTCTGTGGCCAAAACAATGGCCGAGCTCCTCCGCAGTTTCGGCAAATGAAAGTCGCATTGTCAGGCTCAATGTTTCCGGCGGGCTCATGGATGTCCTCGGCCCGAGTTTCAGTCGCTCATCCTCTTTCTTTCTCGGATTCCCAGCCATCCAGTAGCATCCAGTATCCAGTATTCAGTATCCACCATGTCTGAGTCTCAGTCTCTGTTCTCTGGCTGAAATTGTGGATGTGGCCTGAAACAAAGCGCATCCGTTTGGCGAAAATTGAAATGACAAAGTTCAAAGTTTAAGCGGCTTGGCTGTCAGTTTTTCAGGGGCTCTTATAGTTGCCGCTCTCGCTGCACCGAAAATATTTCAACATCGATTTGTTTTTCATTTTTTTTTTGTAACAAACTTTAAGGTAAATTTAAAAGGGTTTTTAGCACTGTTTGCCAAGAAAGAGCTTTAGCTAAAGTTACCTTTAAGAATAGTGGTTAAAGGTACACAAAGTGTTGTATATTGCCTAATCAATTTAAAGCAAGTTGCTGACTAAAAAGCTGACAAGTAAATGATAAAGTATTTATGTGTTTAAAAGTATTTACTTTAAAACAATCTTTATTTGCTTAAATTATTCCCAAAATTATTCAAATAAGTATCGTTTCCTTTTTACCATCAGCAATCTGATAAATTCCATAAGTAAAAAATCATTACATTTTTTTAAATAAATAATATGTATATATTGATTTGCAAACCTGATGGTAAAATGTTTCTTCCCGTGTGTCAGGGAATTAAGTGTCCCGAACCACAGGGCTAATCAGCAGGCAAACACTCAAACCACATCGATTGCAGTGGCAGTGGCTGCTGCGGTGGAAACTCTGTGGAAATTAAAAGCGACCGGGAGCAAGTGGAAATTAAATTGCCTGCAGTTAAAAAACACTTTGGCCGGGCACCAGTCGCAGGCAACAACAATGTAATAAAAGTCAACTCCTGACACGCCCACGCCCACAACCCGCGGCAGTAATCCTGGCAATCCTGGCACAACCGGCAAGTCCTGCGACTCCGACACGGCATTTGCATACTTTTAAGCGCAGATGAGCAGAAATCACTCATACGCACGGGGGGCCAACCATTAAAGGGGGTTGATGGGGCGGAGCCAAGGCCCAAAGGCTCTGGCTTACTCCAGCTGTCGGATTTTCTTGCTCCAGCCGCCCTGTTATTGTTGTGCTATTATGACGGTATTTGCATTGTGTTTAAACGTATTTGAACACGATTTTCAACCGAGGGGAGGGATTGGATGAGGCTGAGGATGAAATGGGGGCTCAAATGAGCAGGCAATTTATTTACGGTCAAATTGCGAGGTTAGACAAGGCAAACAAAGCGGCGCAGGTCGCTGCGCAATGGAAGTGGCCCGGATTTCTCGTCGGTGGGCGTATAAATGTGATAAATATGAAATGTGATTATGGCAAGCTATTATGTAGCACCCAGCCAGGATGATGATGAGGCTTATTATGAAGTCGCCTCTTCTCCTTGCTGCTAAAGTTGCGGTTGCCTTGGGCGTCGTTTTGAGTGAGTGGCTGCCACGGGACTGTCTGTCCTTCCTTCTTTTCCATCTCGAGTGTGCGATTGTGCGAGTCCCTCTTGTAAGTGAAACGAGGAAATGTGATTTTGACGATGTGTTCGCTTTACGGTTATGGTGGCTCATATACGTATGGGTGGCACTTGTTTGTTTCTGTCGGCGCCGGAAGTTGTAGTTGTTTTTTAAAGGAAGCCCGAATTGCTCATTGGGGAAATGCACGAAATAAATCAAGAACAGCGGGAATAAACGAAAGATTTGGAAGGGAGCAATCAAATAAAACTCAATGTCTATCGTCTCAGTCTGTTCATTATGACAATTGAAAATGTTGTATCTTTAAGGCATAATAAATCCATAAATCCATGAAGTTAATTTAATATGAATATAATTAAAATAAATAGCTAAGATAAATATTTAGTTAAAATTTCTTTATCATTCCTTTCCTATTATCTTTATTAAGAACTGGTTTTAAACAACTACAAACCAATTTAAACCGTTCCTTAGGTCTTTCACATCATTCTTCATGATGTTATCATCTCCTTATCTCTATACCTGTGTGCTTCCCACCAATTTGGTTACATTAAATTTCCCAGCAATTGTTTTCGCCCCACCACCCTTAACCCAACCCAAGCGAAAGCGGCAAGAGAAAACGTCTTTATCAAGTGGCAAGCAGCGAACACAAAGCCATAAAATGCTAATCCCATCATGGGAACAATGAGCAGAGCGGATTGGAGCAGAACGTTTGCCGTTTAGCGATGCCGTCAATTGATACATCAGTCGATAAGGCAGGAAGACATCCTGTGAGAATGCCTGGCTCCTGTGGCACGGGGCTAACAGGATTTGGCCACGCTAAATCAACGCAATTCGATGTGGCTCATTTGAGTGCAGCAGCAACGAGCCAAGGAGAACGCAGGGGGAGCAGCCACCACCCAAGGAATTCGTTGCGCTTTGTAGGAATTTGCCACGCTACAAATTCGAGGCTCATGGGAACTGAATTCAGGAATCCAGCCAAATGGAGGGTTGGCAGAAGTGTGGAGATATTGAAATTCGAAATTCATTCTTGCCAAAAACTGCACGACCACTCGATGATGGGTTTTCACTTGGGAAGCTCGTTGTATTCGTCTCGCCGTCTGGGCGAATGACTGCCTTTTGGGCGAAGGACAAGCCCGGGACATCCTTTCATCTTGTTACCATTTCGGTTCCCAGCTCATTAGCGTCGGCGTCGCAGTTTTTGTGCCGCATCTAATTGCTGCATGCGGCCAAGTTGGAAGTCCTGCAAGTCCGCGACTGCCGGATTCAGCCTCACTGCGCTAACGAGTTGAACATATTCTCCGCTCTACTTGCATGGCGTATGTTACTCCTGTCGGAAGGCATGTGGCCGCGGATTTTCACTGGTTTTTCCAAGCCTGGGAACCTATGTTTTTGCTCGACTTCACAATAGAAATGGGTTGGCAGGAACTGACTTTCAAAAACTCCATATGGTTTTTAAGAAGTGCTTAGTTGGGTTTCATTTGTAAACAAAATTAAATTTGATAACTATAATTCAATTTTAAATTATTTTTCAAAGCTTGAATTGAAATAAAGTTTTCCCCAAGCTATACAAAATCATATTGATCCAACGGTCTAACATTATCAAAAACAAATTTCTGATATTTCTTGAACATTTTTCTTTTTTAGAACCATAAGCAACCTATAACAACCTATAAGTCTGTAAGGAATGTTCAATCATATTCTTAGAAAAAAAACATTCGAGAATGAAATCCAGATAACACTCAATCGAAGTTTTGAAATTATTCATTCATTTATTCATGTTTTATATAGCACCACCACAATACTAAACATTTTGCTGGACTTTTTCTTGTCATAAACTTCCCAACTAGTTTCTAAATTCTTTCCAAAATGTTAGTAAATGATAAGTCATAATTATTGAATTGGCATAACAATTAGATTTTTATTGAAACATTCGGCCACACATTGAATGCTAATATTAGCGGATCTGCAACTTAACTATAATATCTTACAATGATCAAACTTGGGTCGTTGGACAAGATAGAGAATTAATTGAGATTCGGGGAGATCCAGCTGCATATTTAAGATACAAATTGCACTACATTTAAGGCTAAGGAAAATGAAATCGGATCGCGGGGAAACTAAAATTAATATCACAATCGAAAACGGGCATTACGGACTAGACCAAGGAAAACCAACTAACGAACGGTGGATCTTGGGGGGAGATGTCTTAAAAGTATCCGAAGAAATGCTTCGATCATTTGGGCATGCCGCCCATTCGGCGACCAGGTGGTGTTCCACCCACCACATTGATGATCTCGTTCTCCCCAGCGGACGAGGAGTCCTCCACCTGCGGCTGGTGATCACTGGCCTTGTCCTGGTGGGCGGTCATGTGTCGCGTCAGATGGTGTCGCTCCCTGAAGGTCTCCTGGCACACAGGACACCTCAGCTTCTCCTCCCGCTTTCTGCGATTCGGATCGCAGGCCACCTCGCTCTTGTGATGGGATCGCATGTGGTAGACCAGGTCGCTGGTCATCCGGAAACTTATGTTGCACTTGGCGCAGACATTCTGAGCGGTCAGCGTGAAGGTCGACGCCAAAGTGGGTGGAATCAGAGTGGAGAGTATGGCAGCTGCCGCTGGATTCTGCAGAGGCTGAGCCACCGCGAAAGGATGTGGTGGTGGCGCAAATCCCGGATAGGCATGCAGAAACTCCGCCGGCGGAGCTGGTGGCGAATTTCCCGGCATCGGAGCTCCTGGTCCTCCGTTGGGATTTCCCGGACCCGGAGGACGAGTATAAAGAAGCTGTTGCTTGAGTCGCTGCTGTGCCTGCAAAGCCTGCATGGGATTCACCGCCTGGAAGGCTCCATTGAACTGATACTCCGGCCGGAAGTTGTGGTACACAATGGGATTCGCTGGCAGGGAATTGGGATTCTGACCACCACTGTTGGTCCTCGGTGGTGGCGTAACCAACGGCGGACTCATCGAGTGACAGCTCAGCTGATCGGGACTCAAGGGAGGAGCGCCCACATCCACGGGTGACTCCAGACGGGATGTTGTCGATGGCGACGAGGATGCAGTGGACAGCGATGAGGAAGCCACCTTGGTGAAAGCACTTCTCATGGGCGGAGGTGGCGAGGAAGTTGAGGGAGCCTCAGGTGAGTCCACCAGGGGTATCACTACACTGGGATCATCGTAGACCCTCGGCGAACGAATGCTGATCTGTGGATACCGCTGGCGAGCCTCCAGAATGCTGATGTACTCCATTGCCGCCGGCGAAGGAGGTTGGGAGGAGGCTCCTCGAGGAGACAAATCCGTGGGATAGTGATTCATCTGCTGCTGCTGCTGCTGGTGATGGTGATGATGATGGTGATGATGATGCAGTGCCTCCTGGAGACGAGCCTGCTTCTCCGCCTGCTTCTGCTTAATCCTCTCATCGGGCATCATGAGGAAAGCCACATCGAAGGCTCTTTTCAGCGTGGTTTTTCCACCTGCCGGCGAAGTGGGTGTCTCATTGTTGTTGTTGTGATTTGTTGTCTGATTTTGTTGCGGCGACTGTTGCGTTTGCTGCTGTTGCGGCGGCGATGTGGAAATCCTGAGCTCGGCATGCTGCGGCGGAGTGGATCGCCGCTGGCCAGGATTCGCATGCGACGGCAGGCTATCCATGAGCAAATTCATTTTCACTTCAACGCACACTTTTCGACTTTCACTTTTGCTTTCTATACTGAACTTGGTTCTGGGGTATTTTTTATATAAGTATCTTTAGCTGCTTTCTGTTCGAAATTCCAGTTTCGACTGCTGGCCGCCCGCAATCTGTTCCTCTTTAAGTACCCGCTACCACCACCGTTGGCAGTCCAGTTGGAATTCTCGGATTCTCATATTGTCCCATTCAATTGGGAAGAGGGAAGAGGAAGAGGCTGGCTCTCCGCACTCGCGGCACTTGGCCCATCTGTCCTGATTCTGATTCTGAGTCTGTTCGAATTCAGGTCCTGCGGAGAGCGTCAGCCACCAGTCACCACCCTTATGTTCCTGCTCTCTCTCTTCCATAGAGCGCCCTCTCTTTCTCCCGCTATCTTCCCTCCCTTTCTATGGCCCATTCTCCGTCTCTTGGCGGTCCATCTGCTTTGCCAGTTGGCGAACATATTCTGTGGTTTTATTGTGTGCGCCTGCCACAGCACGAGTCCTGGTTGGCTGGCATCCCCGGCCAGGTTGCCCCACTCGAAAATGTTGCAGTATTGTATGTGGTTCTGGGTACAGTGGTAGGAATTTTAAGAAAAAAAGCAAAATGATGTTTAATTTTACATGTAAGTAAGTTCCGAGCAGAGAATGTGAAAATATTCTTAAAATATTAAAAAAAAATAATCAAAAATTATTAAAAAATGTTAAATGTATTACATTATATACAAAATAATTTTGAAAGGAGTTTTTAATTTTTCCTAAAACAAAAAAACTTGTTCTACGTATGCATAAGTTTAAGGTTTTTCGAACGAAAACAAATGAAAAGACTTTGCAAACCATAGCAATCACATTCTTGGTATCGTCGTCTTAAATATCGTCACATTGTAAATTCATATTAATTTTTTTTTCACCAAAAATTGTTAGTTAAATCAAATTAAATATTTTATAAATATTTTAGCAATTAATTCCCACTGTCCTTCTTTTGCTGTGCAGCAAACTTTTCGAAAAGAGGCGGCGCTTAGTCCTGGCCCGTTCTCTCTCTATTTCGCTCTCTCTTCGTCCTCGCGCCCACCCCAAATATGGCAGGACCTGCCCTCTCTTTCTGGCTCTCTATCCCTGTCTCTGCTGGCGTTGATATCCTTGTTGCAAGTGTTTCCGAACAGGTTGTTTTTGTCGATTTTTTAGCAGCGCCAGCGAGATTGTGTGAATATGTGGCCATGTTTTGTGTTGCTGTATTTGTTGTATTTGTTGCAATTGTTGCTGTTGGGTTGGATTTTGAGTATATGCTGCGCGTAGCGTTTACATATTGCCAACCGCACACACATAGACAGACACACAAACGCCCAAAAGGATATAGATATAGCGATGGGGTTCCCCCGCTTTGTAGGCGACTGTTGAGCGCCGAAAGATTTCAACGGACTGAAATATTTATTTGTCAGTTAAGTTGGCTCTATGTGGAAAAAGTTCCCACTGACCACCAGTAAATATACATGTATATGTATGTGTGCAGGATGGGGCATGCAACAATGGCAAATTGTGCAATGTTTTCCGTTCGTTTTCCGTCTCGTTCTGTTCCCCCGATTTCCTTCTTTTTTTTTGTTTGCCGGCTAGACCCTAGGTCCTGTCGGACAGGAAGTGAGGATGTGGCCATTGCCAGGACAAAATATGTGTCTGTTATGGTCAGTCGTGGACAAGGTTTGCAGCTACCCATACATACGTATATTTTATTTAAATTTCCCTTCTTTTGTTGCAGTTTTTGTATGACTGTTTGTTTGTCTGCCGCAGCGGCGATTTAATGTTTGCATATTTTCAGGTGCTAATTGTTCCACTTGCCATATGAGATGCATTTTTAATTAATATTTATGGCCACCAGCCAAGTGTGCATGTGTGTGTGTATCTGTGTGCAGGCAAGGCCTATAATTCGCTTGGCCGCCATGTTGGCTGTCGACCAAATTAATATTAAACACATGATTGCCTTCGGCCATGGCCATTTCATTAAAAATATTGTTTAGTTTGTATTTAATTAATTGCGGGTCGAACAAACCTAGCTTCACCCTCCGAATGATATGATTAAAAAATTGATAAGTTATTGGTTATTTAATAGGACTGAGCTGTAGTTTATAAATTTTTTGTAATATAGCAAAAATCTAGAACATGAAACACCCTTATTAATTTAATTTATAAATTGCCCAATCCTATTATTTCTTCTTATCAGAAATTTTACTACGATCTTAAATCTGATCCTAGTTAGAACCAATTTCCTTTATCCAATTCTTATGGGGACATCTTACTATAAATTACCCCCAGATTCAATTGAGTTCCCACATATGCGACACGTGTTCACAATTGAAGTCAAGTGAAAATCCCGAACACATTCTTGCCCCATTGTTGTAAATATTTTTTGCAGAAATTAACGCAAATCTCCGATATACAAATCGAGCACAAAATTTCCACTAAACCCAATGGCTTATCTCCCCCTGCTGATCTCCCAGCATCGAAACTAAAATATTTTTGCTTGTCATTCAAGGAGGGGATGGGATTTTAGGTGGGTTGGTTGTTTGCTCTAGCGACTGTCGATACATCAAACTGCCAAGTGACAAAGTGATTCCCCTCCGGTTGTCAGGCTGAGACAAAGCGCAAAAAGGCGTGAAATTGCCTTTGTGTGATTAAGTCAAGCCGGGGGAAAGTGAAACGAAGGCAGCGAGGAAATGTCGCAGGAAGCAAATTAAAAACTAAGATGACAATCTTTCGACAAGAGTTTAGACACAGGCTACGTGCTCCTTATGCCTTGCCCTGGCATTCTCGGCGGGTTTCAATTATCCGCGGCAAGATAGCAAAATGTAAATGCTAATTGGTTCAACTTTAGCGTGGAGCTGGCTACGTTTATTACGGAGACAGCAGACACCTTTTCCGCGGAGATTGTGGCCTTGGTTGATGTTAATGCGCCGCCTGTCTCCCGTAATCTTTGTGGCTTGTGAGGAAGTCCTGGAGAAAACAGCTTCTTGCTGCCTGGAGAAACTACAAGCTTACACTACACAGAAAAAAATAATATCTATTATATCAGATCATTCTAACTATCCAATTTATAAAGGGGATGTCTTACACTTTTAAATATGCTGAAATATGCTGAAGAAATTCAGATGATCAAATAGATAAATAAATACATTAAAAAATATTGATTCCAATCTGCTTAAAAAGGTGTACAAATTTTATAGCGATCAAATTAATATATGCAAATATTATCCTATGAGTTTAGAGCATATCATACAAACGGGTTTTGAAAAATGAAATGCGATCTGTGCTCATCATAGCCCCTTATGATTTTTGCTCAGTGGTCTTTTGTTGTACTGCTGAAGTGGAAGTTTCCTAGAACTTTGGCCATACAGAGTGCATCCTGCAAGAGTCCTGCACTTGCCACCCCTCAGGACTCGGCACTCAGGTCCCTGGAGTACGGAGTAAACTAGAACTCGAGTTCCTTTCTCGATCCAATCAAGTGCTTTTCGCGCATTAAATAAAAATTCGAATTGGATTTCACGTGAACAGGGGACTGGGCGAGAACCTAATTGTACGAGGGTTGGAGAGACCTGAGCATTTTGGAGGGCTGGATGTGGAACTGGAGTAGATATTTGCAGGGTTGTTGCTAGTAGATTTGCCCGCCCCTGTTGCTGTTTGTTTAAATACCGTGAATAACATGTGGTTTTTTCGAAGCATATGGCAAGGACTTTGTCACTATTAAGGAGCCGTCTGGCCACGGCTCGTCCTCCAGCTCGGCAAATCCTCCAATTAGACTGTCATTCATTTAAACGGATTAAAAATGCGCGAACGAGGGTCGCACTTTTTGGCACTAACAAGGCCCGCGGGCCCAAATGCCGAATGCGTTGGATGGTGGTGGCTCTTGTGGTTGCCTCCGGTTTAGTCTTAGTCGGATTAGAGCCCTTGTTTTGGTTAGCAAATCGGCTGATGACGATGTCGACTCGATTCCAATTCGATTCCTGCCCCCGTTTTGTGGTGCGTCGTCGTTGGTCCAATCAGTTCGAGACGCACATTCGCCCGCAATCAAGCCACAAAAACATTTTCTGCTGTCATATGCAAAACGACAAACGACAAACGAACAACTGCACCTGAGCGGGTGGCAAACAGTGGGTGGGTGGGCGACTGGGACTTTATCTAAAATGCTTACGCTTGAGAAGCTCTCAATCGAATGCGGCATAAATATTTATGTGCCCCGATGTGGCAATATTTCCCGCAGCTCAAACACACACAATCCGAACTCGTAAAGCACAAAACAGAACTCGCAACAGTTGCCAAGTGTTGGACTTGGTTGCCCGATAACCATAATGTCAAGAGCTCTTCAAGTGGGCCAGAAGAGGCCAGAGGAAGAAGCGGAACAGGAACATCCACTTTGAGTCCTTCAAGGTTTAAGGGTATAACAAAAAGCGTAGTTGAAATTTTATACGGGTTGGCGGCGATTTTTAAAAAAATAATGTTGGTTTTAAATGAAATATTTTATTCAAAAATCTAAGTGATACAAAAATAAGTTAAGGGGTTGTTTTGCATTGCACATTATCTTTTGATATCAATTATATTAAGCTGATATTTATCAAAAAAATTGTAGTAAATTTTCATTAGAATTTTAAAGTATACTTTCATATTAGATTCGACCCATGATACAATATTTTTTGCTTATGTATTACAGTTTTGGTTTTTCAAAGAGTTAATAAAATCAGTATATTTTTTCTCCCTTTGCACTTACGATTTTCCAAAGGGAATACCAGCTCCGATATTTAGCACCCACTCCCATTTGCACTTGTAAAACATATTCATAACGAAAACATGCAACATTTGGCGGATTCTTCGCTTTGAGGCGGATGTGCAGCGTATGCTCGGCGAAGCTGCACAAATGAAGCGACCACCAAGTCACCACCAGACGACACCGACATTACCACCAGTTGCCACCACCCCCGGCGGCAGGATACCTCATCCCCTCGTCCTTTTGCGCCGGGATGACCCGCATTTAAAGTTGCTCAATACGTTTCTGGTGCCATAAATTGCGACCCTGCCCTGGAACCTGTTTCACTGTCTGTCAGTCAGTCGGTTTGGTCCA